GTCCACACACACACACACACACACACATATATATATATATATATATATATATATATATATATATATATATATAAAACAGCTGAAGTCTCTTATTGAGCAGGATTATTACATAGGATTATTGCACAGGGTAATGAATGGGTTTTTATACATATATAGTTGTTGCACTGGGTATTAAATATAAATGGGTTATTGCACAGGGTATTAAATAGTGATTATACATCAGATATTGCACAAGTTATTGCAGTTATAATGCCGCATTGTAAAGTCTGACGGCATCAGGGATGAATGACCTGCGGCAGCGCTCCTTTTCACAAACAGGGTGTAAGTCTTTCACTAACGGAGCTGCAGCTATGCTTTTACCCCTCTCAGTCATCATTCATGTCTGACATTAGCTATTCCTGTTTCAGTGTCCTAGGGAGTGTTGTCACTAAGTATCTTTGTGTTTGGTGAAGGATGAAAGGGATATGGCCTAAAGAAAAAGGAGGAGAAACATTAATATAGTAATTGTGCTAGAGCCAGCCAAAATAAAAAAAAATTCTGTAAATGCTTAGGATTCTCCACTGTTTGTTCAAGTAACAAGAATACTTGAATTTCGACATGAAACATTTATTAATTAACCATCAAACCACAGTGTTCAAATTGGTTCCAGGATTGGGCAGGAAATGGACCCAGATAATCTAGCCCTTAGAAATCTATGCATGAGAAAATGATCATGTATCATGATGTAATTAATTATTAGATCATGATGTATCATTTGTAAATGTTTTTGTTTCTACAACTACATAAAATCTTTAAGGGGGAGAGTTTTTGTTGAAAATCTGTAGTTGCTCACTTCAAGTAGAAGTTCTGCAGAGCTTTTGGGTTATAAGGACATCTGTTATCCAAGCTCCTCTTCAGGCGATCTCACAAATTTTACTTGAAAATGTAACCCTGGACTCCGATTAGACCATTTCAAAACTTAATATTTACATAATAGAAGATATTGTTATTTCCTTATTGTGATGCAAAACAATCTTTCAAATAAAAACATCAGTTTATATTGACTTCTCTAGCACAAACCCATAAGATTTGAAGTCAAAACTGACTGCTAACATGGAATTGAGGCTGACTACTAAATTCTTAAAAATAACTTTTAAATAGTTTTTTTTTTCTTTATTTCAGTCAATTCATTCAGGAAAAGAAAATACCAAATGTAAGAAATAGAACTGTAAAAAATAAATATGTATTTTACATATTTCTGTTGGTAGTAGTTCTTTTTCATCTCTCACTTTTACTGCAGACTTAATGTCTAATGCTTAAATGCTGAAATCCTTCCTCAGAATGATGAGTAACATTCACAGGGATCAAATGTAAATCACTGGTGTCAATTCTGGCTAATCTTGATGGAAATATATGTGGGTTTGTCTTTTAATTTGATCCCAGAACATTTACTTGATGTCTTCTGTATATTGTCGGTTAAAACCTGCAAAAAACGGATCTCCCTCACAAATACTAATTGTATTGTTTTGTATTGTTTATCAATAGCTTTGGCTGCTTTAAGGTCAGGTTAAAGCTTTTGGATGAATCGTAAATGAAGTGGAATGTAGGCTTGGGAAAATTATATTCCTCAGGGGCCACTAGGAGGCTTTCTCACCACATGATGAACACCAGTAAGAGTCAAGCTAAAATATACGAGTAGGAAAACTTTTTCCGCCTTAACATTCTGTTTCACAAATAAAACCGTAAATTTGCCTCAAGTAGATAGATTTTAAATGCGTTTTTTTATTAATAAGTTAAACACAAACACACACATACCTATAAAAAAAAGTTTAGATATCGAAGTTTAAGTACGATTTTTCTTGGAAGTTGGAAATGTCTGACCGTATTTACCGTTTCTTTGGTTTTGTTTTTATACAGTAAATTGCAATTTTACAAAAAATCATGTTCAGTTAGCTTATTATTAAAGAAAAATAATAATATTTCTGTTCTGTACGATAGATAGATAGATAGATAGATAGATAGATAGATAGATAGATAGATAGATAGATAGATAGATAGATAGATAGATAGATAGA